CTGGGTTCTTTTTAACAAAAGAATTGCTCTTTCATTTTTGTTGGAGTAAAAAAACAAATGAAAGCCAACAGCTGGCATTTTCTGAGGGCTGCCTCAAGTCTTATCAAGGGTTGTCTGAAATCTAAAAAGGGTCAGAACTACTGGTATAATATAAAGGCGTAGGGGTGGCAGGAGGGTAAAAGAGCATGCCTGAGTCTCTTGTTGCCAAAGGGGAAGCTGGGAGTGGGCAGATTGCTACATCTTAGAGTAGACTGGACAGCTGACTGCCATACCAATTAACTAATGCTTTATTTTTGCAAGCATACAGTGCACACACATAGCTGCAAGAAACCCTTCAAAACATGTTGGTGATCCAAATTTGAAAATCAGAGATTTTGCTACTTCCTCTTACATGTAGAATAATTCCATATATTCATATACATTGTCAAGTTTAAAAAAGCTATATGAGAGGGGAAAGATGTACTGGCAGATGACAAATAAGAATAAGGAAGAGAGAAGCACAGATCACCAGGGCTTGGCTGTTTGGAGCATTTGTCTGCTGCTGTTTGGAGCATTGTTCTTTGAAGGAAGCCTGCTGGAAGTGGGAGAGTTTCCCCTACCCCTGCTGGAATATGTGGAGGTACAATATAGGCAGAGCCCCAAAAAACTCTGAATGGGTAGGCAGGGGCTACCAAAGAGACTGGTGAGGGGGAAGGGTAATGTGCCCATACTCCTCACCTCAGGAGAGCTTCCCAGGAACCGAGCAAGAAGGGAACAGGTAATCATCCCATTCCTCCAGTATGTATATACCATACCCTAAAAAGAGCAATACTAAGTAGGCAGGTCAGTTGAATGCATATTCAGGAATCTTAGCTAATATCAGCTTTTAGAGATTGTAACTAGGGTTCCTGAATGACAATGATTAGCAAGTCAGGCACAGTTCATGTGAATTTGAGGTTCAAAGGGATACATTACCATCTATCCATTTATCCCAGCATTCTTACTGTAATGTGTAGGCAGCTGGTGAAAAGCAAGCATGGCTTTACTGCAACCATGAATGAGGGATGGATGAGATCAATTCAACTGAAGCAAAATGAGTCACTACTTGGACTAAAACACTGTATCTATCAAGTAATCGTTAAATGAAAATTGATTGCTTGGTTTACAGTCCAAATTAAATCAATATAATTTGTTTTAATGCTTACAGGGCACATTAAAAATGACCTATTCAATATCCTACACCACCTATTAGGCCTCTATATGGACTTCAGTTCCTAAGCACTATCCTATTCCATCCTCCTCAAATCCACCCTCCTGAAAGTCCATTAATGTATCCACCTTTGTAACTCAGCATCATCCTCCAACCTTTAAGACCAGTCACAAAATAACTGCAAGGCAGAAGAGGACCTACCCATCATTTCCATTAACAGTTTTAAAGGGACATGAAGAGGGTGTAAAAGGATCACATGTAGGTACATAAGTCAACCTAGATGCCTAATAGATGGAGTAGGATGTGGCCCTTTACTTCTCCCAGACAGGATGCCAGGTTGGCTAAGTAGAAAGGGATACATTATGAAACGGTTAAGGAGTAAACATGTATTTAAATCTGTGAAGAAGAAACCATTGGAGTTTCTGATATGAACCCAATTGCAAGCCATGAAGATATTACCAGCTGCACTTTATGTGGAAGGGAAATGTGGTTGTAAAAATACTTACTGTTTCATTTCTGTTCTTGTTCTAGGGTGATCCTGGTGTAGGACTACCAGGGCCACCAGGACCTCCAGGCCCATCTGCTGTACCTAGAAGACTTGTGAGTTTCAGAGACACCCTGATACTTAGCTCTCCTCGTTCTACTGTTTGACAAACAATGGGATGAAACTGAAAATGAGGTGCAGTCTGAGCTAGTCTCCATGTGTATACACAGGTGTTCACCCACACACACATGTACCCATGTGTATAAATGTGTGTGTGTGTGTGTATGCACACATGAAATCAGTTATACAAATGGAAGGGACCTCATGTCATCATCTAGTCTAACCCTCTGGTCAAGGCAGAATCCTCTGTGCCTAAAAGATCCCAGTTAATATTTATCTAACCTACAATTTCCAAGGATGGTGATTCCACAACATCTCTGGGCAACCTGTTCCAATGCATAACGCCCCCAACCCATAGTGGAAAAGTTTTTCGTTATATCCAACCTAGATTTTCCCTGCTGCAATTTAAATCCTTTACTCCTAGTTTTGTCCCCTGCACCCGTCAGTTACATGAAGACTTATCAAATCGCCCCTCAGTCTGTTCTTCTGCAGACTAAGCAATGCTAGTTCTTCAGACTTTCCTCATAAGTCACGTTTCCCAGGCCTCTAATCATTTATGTTGTCATCTGCTAGAATCTTTCTAAGCTGTCCATAACTTTCTTGAACTGTGAAGCCCAAAACTGGACACAGTACTCCAGATGAGGCCACATCAGTGCCAAATAAAATAAAAGGATCACTTCCCTTAATTTGCAAATAACACCCCTATTAATACAACAAAAAATGCTGTTGCCCTTTTTTTGGAACAAGAGCCAGCAGTAGTTGGCTCATATGTAGCTTACGACCACTTTAATGGCCTGGTTCTTTTCTTCCATACTGCAGCCTAGGCAATCATTCCCCAGTTTGTAACTGTGCATGCAATTTCTTTATCTCAAGTGTAGGACTTTACTTGTCCTTACTGAATTTCATGTGATTCATTTTGGACCATTTATCTAGTTTATCAAGATCATTCTGGATCCTAGCTGTACTCTTCAAAATGTCTGTAACTCTACCCGACTTGATATCATCTTTAAATTTGCTAAGTGTGCATTCAGTCCCATCCTCCAAATCACTATTGAAGATGGATGTAGTCTTTCTGGACTTCAGCAAGGCCTTTGACACCATCTCCCACCCCATCCTCATTAAAAAATTGGGCGACTGTGGCATTGATGCCTACACAGTCAGATGGATTGCAGATTGGCTGAAGAGTCGCACTCAGAGGGGGGTGGTGGACGGGTCATATTCAGCCTGGGGAGAAGTGGGCAGTGGAGTCCCCCAGGGGTCCTTGGGCTTGTGCTGTTCTATCTCTTTATCAGCGATTTGGACGACGGGGTGAAAAACAACCTGTTTAAATTCACTGATGATACCAAAATTTGGGGTGAGCTGAGCACGCTAGTAAGGAGGGAAAGACTGCAGCAAGACCTGGATAGGTTACAGGGGTGAGCTAACAAAAACAGGATGCGCTTCAATACTGACAAGTGCAGGGT